TTTCTGAAAAAAATAAAGGTGTCTGAAATAAATCTATAGTTATCTTCACTCCTCTAGGATTTTTTCCAAATACTTTAACTTCTCAGTTATAAACCACAATTGCTTTTGCAATTGTGGTTTATAACTGTATCACTTAAGTTACTTCAGATTGAACTTCTGAGCACGCACCATGTCTTCTTAACATAATATGATATGGGACTTTGCAATGGAACAGATTGGGTTGTTGAATTCACTCAGTCCTGTTAAGTTGCATTTAAAATAGCAGTTTCTATTACTTTAACAAGTCAAAAAAACAACAACTGTAAGATAAACATATGAAAGTATGCTATGTTTATTTTTAATTCCAACTCCTTCATAGTAATTAACTAGGTTCTAAAACAACATCTCAAGCTCTGATCATCTCTTCAGTCCATTACTTGGACATGTAGAGGAGCACCTGCAGACCTACCAAAACATGGAGGTATACCTAAAGTAAAACAGTTGACAATGAGACAATGAGTGTATGTCGTAGATGCCGATGGTAACTCTGGAGGAGATGCATAGATTTACAACTCAGGTGCACAATGTCTAATACCAATGTATTCCAGGTGTAACTATGGGTGGGATGGCCCACTGTGTGACAGATGCCTCCCATACCCGGGATGTGTTCACGGTACCTGTACTGAGCCCTGGCAGTGCACCTGTGAGAAGAACTGGGGTGGGCTGCTCTGTGATAAAGGTCAGGTTTCTCTTACCTTTGGTTTAAACAAATCTATGTGTGCTATTCAAAAATAGGATAATATGTCCATGTCCCATTCCAGAAGTGCAACAGCACAAAGCTTCAGTCTAATCTAAAGAGTTTATTACTGATTTTGGTGTCCAGACCTGAACTACTGTGGGACGAATCAGCCCTGTAAGAATGGAGGAACCTGCATGAACACAGAGCCAGATGAATACGACTGTGCTTGTCTTGACGGCTACTCCGGCAAAAACTGTGAGATTGGTGAGTATGTTATTAATGCCCAAATCATATTAAAATACGACTGTTTTGTTGCAACAAATTGGAAAAAATCAGAAGTAAAATGTACAACTGTCTCTCTAGCGGAGCACGCTTGCCTCTCTAACCCCTGTGCCAATGGAGGGACTTGTCATGAAGTCCCTTCAGGCTTTGAGTGTCACTGTCCTGCTGGCTGGTCTGGACCAACCTGTGCTGAAGGTAAGATGCTTGGTTCCCTTTCAGTTCAGAATAAAGGAGCAGACAGAAAGAGCTGATTAACAGGCAAGGGCTTTTCATTGGTGGTAGCCTGTGTAGTGTAAGAGCTGTCTGAAAGGAAAAACACTTTCTAGAGTCAGAACAACTTCCGTTATGCAAATTACGTATTCCCTTAAACCAACCAATTAGGAGAACTAAAATTATTGCTTATAATTGTTAAAAGTAATTAATTTAAACGTCCTAATCTATAACAAAATTAGAGGCAACATCAAGTTTCCAAAATTGTCCATATCTAAAAACAGCTGACCATTTGCAGCATAAATTAGAGCAGAGCTAGCATTTCACAGCTCTAATTTATGCTCCAAATTGCAGTCAGTAGGCGACTATGGGTAGTTGAGCTGTGTTGATCCGCTCAACGACATTTGTTCTGGTTTGTGTAGCAAAAAATTTTGGTTTTCCTGCTTTTGCTTTGAAAATGTTAATGAAAGTTTAAAGGTTAAAAGGTCAACCAGTCTTTGGTCAACATCAAATCTAACAAATTGGTGTGAACTGTTTGTGCTATGTTTGTGCAGTAAAAATGTCTTTTGTGCCCATCATTTTGAAGATATTAATAAAAAAGTTTCCCGAGGTCATTAGAGGTCAACCAACCCCTCTACTTACCCCCTCCCACTCAAATACGTAAAATCAAACAAATTTGGTATCAATCAACTCGGCTACATTTGTGCTGGTTTGTGCAACAAAAATGTTCATTTGTGCTGCTTTTGCTTTGAAGATATTGATGATAACCTCTGATCTTTAAAATGATAGCAGCACAAACAAAAGTTTTTACTGTCCAAACCAGCAGAAGCATAGCACCAATGCTTGATACCAGTTTATTAGATTTGAAGAGGGGTGTTATTTAACTCAATGTTTTTTTTATTGAAGTTTAATTCTGAACTGTATGTATGAGATATCTAAACCTTTAATGACAGAGACAGAAAGCCCTAAAGGATTCAAAAGCTCCTATGGATTTTCCTAGTGTTCCCAGTGCAACCTAGAAACAACCAATCAGAGCTTGGAGGCAGGTCTTGTGATAATATCTGTATTGTATGTCTACATTTCAGACACAGATGAATGTGCCTCTGCCCCCTGTGCTCATGGAGGGACCTGCATTGACATGGAGAACGGCTTTGAGTGCCTCTGCCCTGTGCAGTGGACAGGAAAGACCTGCCAGATTGGTGTGTTGTCCCTGTTGTCTCTGTTGCTGGTCATTCTGAGACAGACACATACCATCAGATGATTTGCTTTTCCTAGTAAAAACCACTGCTTTCAGAAAGAGCTTGGCCATTTTAGCATTAAATTGCTAACTAGTACATGTGGGATGACTTTTTGCTGTGATAATGCTGGTGTGTATCCCTTTGTGCAACAGCAACAGTGACAGTTGTGTCGGTTAACATGAAGTATTACAGGAGCCGTTTCATTTCACAGTTGTAAATGAAAAAGCTCCTGGGAAGGAACGTCTCCACATTTCGTCTCATTAAATATTATTTCAAATAAAAAATTTGGTGTGTTTGTATTCAGCCCCTCTGATTCAACACTTGGTAGGACTTGCTACTACTGCAGGTTTGTCTCTACCAGATTTGAACATCTACAGGCTAAACATCAAAACAGCCGTAGCCAAGTCAGGTTGGATGGGGAAGATCTGTGAACAACAGTTTTCAAATCCTGCCGCATATTCTTAATTTGAGCTTGATTAACGGCCAAATCTGGTTTGATGTATACCATCACATTGCAGTGTCAGGTCTTCTGCAGCTCCTAACAGTTTTCCTTCCAGGATTCTCCTCTACTGAGCTTCAATCATCTTCCCTTCACCTGTGAGCCACTTTTTTCCTTGCTGAAAAAAAATCCCCACGGCACGATACTGCCACCTCTGTGTTTCACTGTGGATGGTTAGTCCAGAACATTGATTTTCATCTACACATGAGGTTTTGCATGTTGACCAAAAAGTTCAACTTTGGTCGCATGACCAGAGCAACTTTTTGTTTACTGTGCTCTCTAAAAACATATTGTCCTCTGGGGTTTTAAATGCCCTTCTTCTTGCCATTTCTCCATACAGACTTCTTGCTGCATTTTAATTCTTGTCCTGTTAAGTGAGCCCCCCACTGGAGCTGTGGATCTTTGCAGCTCCTCCAGAGTTACAGTATGTTGGCTGTTTGTTGATTAATGCTCTCCTTGGTCAGCCAGTCAGTGTAGGAGGATGTAAATGTCTCAGTTGGTCCATCCTCTCTCTCTATGTTCAGGTTGAACAGAGAAATGCTCAACGCTTGGGACTTTTTCTGTTCAATTCAGCTTTTATGTAATGCCAATTCACAGCAAATGTATTCTCACACCACTTTGCAAAAATAGAAATAGTTGATTCAATCCAATCATAGAGGCAGATTTCAAGTAAACTACAAACAGTCCAAATTGATCCTATTTTTTGAACAGTTCAGACAGCTTCTGTTTATTATTCAAATTGGTTAGAGTTTTTATCAAAAGAAACTCAGAAAGCTGCCCCGAGTCAATGACGAGCAGCAATCCCTCCTAGAGGAGCATGTAGTGACAGCAGACTGTTGCTTGCATTGTGTTGTTGACCTGGCAGCAGCCCCTCCTATTAACCATGCATGCTTTAGAACATAACTCTGGTCTAAACTTCCTTCCTGACATGTCTGCTGTATTCCTTTGTCTTCATGATACTGGTTGTTCTCTCATGATCTCTAGCAAACCTCTGAGGTCAGAAACAGAACAACTGGAGCTAGACTAGCATTCAGTTACACGCAGTCAGATTTACTTTACCAATTAGGTCACCACTGAAGGTTGTAGTAGCTTTCATGTAGGGGTATCAAAGTATAGGGTTATGAATACAAATGCACACCAAACTTTGTGTTGGTCTCTCACAATGAATAAAACACAGAATGCATATGGCTTTAAAGCAGTATGAAAACTTTTACAAGGTTATATGTGTTTTTGTATCCGTGTGTGTGTGTGTGTGTGTGTGTGTGTGTGTGTGTGTGTGTGTTGTCTACACCAGTCCCCAGCAGTGGTAGTGTCTGCAACCCAAGCCAGGTGACTTGAGTAAAGCTAAAAATAACCACCGCGTGGCAGCTGCTGGTCTTGGGAGCAAATATCATCCTGTAAAGGGAATTGGGGGGAGGGGCAGAGGGCTCCAGACAGGACGTAACAGAGGAGTAAATGCTCTACAGTCTGCCCCTCCAGCTTCTCTCAGGAAACATTAACAAGCAGCAGGAGCAGCAGTTTGCTCTGGGTGCAGAGAGGACCCTGTGGGACACAGAGAGCCGATTTGGAGCAAAGGCTTCTGGGTGTTTCATTTCAGAAGGCCAACAGGTGCTATTCACCTCCTGGGAGTACTATTAATGCTCTGTGTTAGGTTTAGTGGGCGAATTGGTGAAACTGACCACTTGGAATGTCACAGGTTGGCCTCTAGGGAATGCAACAGAGACACATTAACCCTGGGGGAGCAGTGGAGGAAGTAAATCACTGTTCAACATCTGCTTCAAATGTTTCTAGTAATCTTGCATTCGGATCAAAATCTCATACAAAAAAAAAAACTGCTTCAACATCTTCTCAGAACAACACATCATGGAGGTCTTTGACCACATTTACTGTTTTACAGTCAAAGATCTGGATGGGAATCATATTTGGTTTCATTTGTAATTTATTACTAAATTTGTTTAAATGACATGCAATGCCATGACACAACACCACACAGCAATGTAAACATTAATGAAATGTCAAGACGTAAATACTTTGATTTTGGTGGGATGAGTGTAACACAGCTGTGCTTGGTGATGGGACTTCTTATTCCCTGTCTTTGTGTCTCTTGTCTCCACTTTGCAGACATTAACGAGTGTGGGGGAAAGCCTTGCCTCAATGCTTATTCTTGCAAAAATATGATTGGTGGATATCACTGTGCCTGCTTTCGTGGATGGGTGGGCCACAACTGTCACATAAGTCAGTATGATTTCAGAAAAGTATTGGCCTTCAGTCTGCTTCCTGCCTGGCTGCATCACTCTGAGCTGTAATCCAGAGCCTTTACTGACCAACCTCTGTTCCACTGCCAGTATGTTATATGTGTGGGTGTTCTTTTTCAAGTATCCCCAACATCCTGTCCATGTTGCTGGTTGGTTTTAAAGATAAAGCATTTAAGCTTTATCAGAAGCTTAAATGCATGCATAAAAGTACTAGTTCCATTTGCAGTAATGGAACTACTGCTAATGGTTCCATTATGATTTTTTTTTATATGGGAAAAAAATCATAATTGAAATAATCTGCCAATGGAACCAGTACTTCCTCATCAATATAAGGAAGTATTGAAACAAGTTCATATATCTGCTGAAAAGTTAGATGTAAGATAGTCTTCTCTTATTTCTAGTGTACTAGATTTTTACACTAGAAACTGAATCAAAATTGCTTGGTAAGATTTTGTGTTTTTGCAGTATACACATAACGCCACTATTAATATTTTTCTAAATGTCCCTCAATACATTCTTTTTCCAGCCATGAAGAAGCTTCTTAATTTGGTTGGCATGAATTCTGGGCCCGATTGAGGTTTGGGACATTCCATGTTAGTCTTTTTAATCCTTTCCGAAACAAATGAAACTATCCAGTTGTGTTCCATATGGTGCATTAGTACCGCTGTCAGTGAAACAGCCCCTTAGCATGATGCTACCTCCATCATGCTTAACAGCAGGTAGTGTATTCTTAGAAATGAAAAGCCTCACCTTGACTTACCACAGTGACATACAGCAGTTCTTGGCTTGAGCTTGTGGCCAGCTGGAAAGAATCCGATCCTGAAAAGGACTCTGTTACTGCTGGTTACAGTTGGTCTTTGAACATCCCATCTCATTTCCTTTCATCAGAGGTCAAAGTTTGGGTCAGATGATTGGAACTTTGAAACAGACGGACGTCCCAGTCTGGCAGTGATCAAAAACACACATGAAAACTGTACGACTGTAAATCATGCCATATCTCAACTCAATAAACACTCATGTACTAGCAGGATTTCTATTTTAATGGGCAGGAATGTGTCTATAATTTTAGCTATATTTAAAAAGTCCACAGTAAATGCAATCTTTTGCACCAGTTCATAGCTTTTATATTCCTTGGACTTGTTTGCAGCATACATATACAACCATTCCACCTGATGAAAGAGTGATTCAAATACATCATTAAATGATGAATGGATATTAACTTATCTAGTTGATGTAAGTGCAATAGAAGCTGGTCAGTGGAGGTTGCTGGAATTTCTTCCTCTGTCTTTAGTCTCATGCCTTTCTGCTGGATTTTCCCACGCTTCACCTGGGCTCCAGGGTCTCTGACTAAATCTAAAATTTCTAAAAACTATGTTCAGTTATCCATGAGAGATTTTCCTAATTAGTATAATTGTTTAGTTCCACATTTTTCTTCCTCTGAATCTGCATTTCTTTTGGGGATTGATCATCCTGCTCTGAGTGTACACCAGTGCACCACTTCTCCCAGCCTCCAACAACCACTTTCTCACATGTTGCTCCATCAGTGTGCTTCTGTCTCAGTCTTCATTGAATTTCATTTCAAACCTTTGGTTTTTCCTCAGACATGAACAGTTGCCATGGACAGTGTCAGAATGGAGGCACCTGTAAGGTAATGCCCACTTCTCATTCTCAAACATGCTGCTGGTTTTGATTAATTTTTTTATGCTTTTTTGAAGATATAAATACAAGAACAAGAGGCGTGTCAGCTTTCTAACGGCTTCAGCTGCTATCTAAGCCATGCTTCCTAGCTACTTTACCAGATGTCAACTGTCAACACAGTTGACAGTTTTATCATACATACGAATTAGGAAATAATTAGTATTATTGATAAATAATTGTTGACTCTGAGCTGAATTTAGAATGTCTTTGTAGATGAGTTGGACTTTAGGCTTATTGCTGCTGGATGACTGAATTATGCATTAGCTGGTGTAGTTTTGCAATTTGATAAAGTCTTATGTTAAGGAGATTATCTGGTGCTGCTTTAGTGATCTGGTCTTGTCTGTCTTGCAACTAAGTGAAATGAGAATTTAACCCTGAGTTGCTTTTGACAGCTGTTGGATCTATTGACTGACTTGCTGAGAACCACACTTGTTGTCTTCATACCAGAACACAGCCAGAGGCTACCAGTGCGTTTGCCTGCCAGGTTTTGTGGGTCGGCACTGTGAGGCTCAGAGGAACCATTGCTCTAGCAGTCCTTGCAGAAATGGTGGTCGCTGCCATGTGCATCTGGAAGGTTTTGTATGTGACTGCCTACCAGGGTTCACTGGAACCACCTGTGAGGTGAGGAAGGTATTGTAAACCTGTTTATTAGTAACAGTTAATGAGAAGTTTCCATAATAAAGCTAACTATTATGTAATAATTGTAGCAATGAGACTGCCTGACAAAAGAGCTCATTATAGCCCTATGAAATATGATGTATAGCAACTGTTTTGTTTCTTATGTTGAATAACATTGACGGTGTGGAGAGTTTGAATGTGCCTCAGTTATTGATTTCTTCTCTTAAGGTGCAAAATGATCCTTGTAATCCAAATCCTTGCCAAAATAAGGCTCAGTGCAACAGCCTAGCTGGTGACTTCTACTGCAGCTGCCCTGATGATTATGAGGGCAAAACTTGTTCTGAGCTCAAGGACCACTGCAAGACCAACCAGTGTGAAGGTAGCAAGACTTCTACTAGAGCCATTGTTTTTTCATTATTTCTTTCAAACCAGCAGGAATGCTTTGCTTTCTGATTTTGACCATTTTCTTGTCTGTAACCCAAAGTGATCGACAGCTGCACTGTTGCCGTTGCAACCAATGATACTCAACAAGTGTGGCACATTTCATCAAATGTGTGTGGGCCACACGGCCGTTGCATTAGCCTGCCTGCCGGGAACTTCAGCTGTTCCTGCGATCTGGGATTCACTGGCACCTACTGCCACGAGAGTGAGTCATTATTAGGTTAACACTCACACATCGTCTATATTTATCACCAGTTACCATCACTAGGAACCACAAGCCTTCTGGTAATTCAGGCTCAAGTTTCGCTAATCATCACCATCAGTTTGGTGTATAGTGGAAATAAAAAGTCCAGAGGAAAACCTGAGCTACATGTCACAGCGTTACCATTCTCGTTCTATTTACAAGTTTTTTGTTGCTGTTGATGTGCCGGTTTTTATAGCTCGGCATCTTATTTTGACTGTGCATTTTTTTGCCTTGCGTTTGTTGCCGCTTCTTGGTCCCTTCTACGGTCCCTTGAAAAAGGGATTCCTGGCCCTCAATGGGCTTTTATTCTGGTAAAATAAAGGTGAAACAAATAAAAAATAGACATTTCAGTTCAGTGGATATCTTAAAATGCACAGTGGTCAAATATAAAAAAAATTTTTTACTAACAACTGAACCAGGAAGTGGATTTTTTTTATTTTCCATTGTTTTACAAAGAAAGGAAAGCATACCATTTGTCAATGTACTTATTTTTAGCAACTTCCTTCTCTTAAATACTAACTTTGTTTGCAGATATCAATGACTGTGCATCATACCCATGTAAAAATGGAGGCACCTGCATAGATGGGATAAGCTCCTTTGAGTGTGTCTGTCCAGGCGGCTGGGAGGGTGACCTCTGTGATGTTGGTGAGTGTGTGACTGGGCAGCACAAATTTAGACTGGAAACAAACAACTTCTGTGGAAATCTGAAGATAAATGTTTAAGTTACAGCCTTCTTCTACAGAACCGCTATAACTGATAGCGGTTAATCATATGCATACATATGATTTAGCTCCAAAAGTGATGCTATTTGGTAATTTATTATACATTTTATTGTTTTTTATTACATCGCTCCAAAACCACAAGGTGTGTCATTATATTTGATACGGTTCAATAAATGTTAGCTTTGTTACATCAGTTTTACTTTAGAGCATTAAGAGATATTCACGTCATTTTTCTGAAGTCGCCAGTCATGTGAATAAACATTGCTCACCTAGTCTGACCATAACAGCATAAATATAGCTTAGAAGTGCAAACCTGTAATGTTTGTCCTAAAGCGTAATTTAACACTTGAATATTTACAATTATATTTTAACTTTTCAATGTGCAGAAAAAACAATTGCGTTTCAGTTTCTTGGTTTCACTCCTGATCACTTAAGATAAAGATTGTTAAGATTCGAGTCTCAGACCATGAGTATTAGTCAAGACTGAAGTCTTTGTTTTTCCTCTTTTAGTTTGTCTCAAATCACTGTTTCTGGTTTGTTTACACCATTTATTTTGTTGTTGTTTTATCTCTCCATAACCCAAACTGACCTTTCATTTCCAGATGTGAATGAGTGCAGCAGCAACCCCTGTCAGAATGGAGGCCAGTGCGTGGATCTATTTCATGATTTCTACTGCAACTGCATAGACAACTGGAAAGGGAAAAACTGTCACTTACGTGAGTTTGACTGCAGTTATTTATGCACACATTGAAACCTAATTCTGCAATTACCACAAACTGTTAGACCTTCCTCCCACTCACATATCTGTTTTATTAGTGTCAGTCAGCAGAAAAGGGGCAATATGTTTTCCTTCACATTCTTTGCATGTCAGGTCTTATATTTCTGAACTACTTTATCAACTTGATCTTTGGGGTGAACTGCTTACATGTCAGTAAACATGATCTCTCTTACTACTCTGTTCTTTCCATATGTGGAGTGGAAGTAGGTACTTAACAATGGCAGAAAGACAAATACCAGCAGTGTTTGTGTGGTGCTTCCACTCTCCAGGTGAGAGCCAATGTGACTCCAACACATGCAGGAACGGTGGGACTTGTTATGACCGTGGAGACTCGTTCCTGTGCCACTGCCCATCAGGGTGGGCAGGAAACACCTGCAACACAGGTCAGCCATTGTTTCCATACAATTATGTTAATCATGATGACTGCATCAGCTGCTGTTACTAGCCAAAATTAAATCAGTGGATGATCAAATGTTGTTTTGCTCTAGCTAAGAACAGCACTTGTGATTCGGATCCATGTGAGAACGGAGGAACATGTGTTGGAGGAGAACTTTTCACCTGCATCTGCAAGGATGGCTGGGAAGGGCCCACTTGTGCACAAAGTATACCTCTATTTCATAGACAGAGAGAGAAGTTATTGTGTCTTATATGTTAAAATATAAGCCACATATTAAAATACACTGTATAAAAGGATGCCTAACCGTATTTTGTCTTAGCCAGACTAACTGCTTTCTGTTTAAGTCTGTGATTACCAAAAACATTTTTTATTTTCTGAATGCCAGAATAAGGACAGAGAATATCTTATGCAAGTCCAAAGATTTGTGAAAGAGAAGTCTTGCACAAATGATCTCATTCATTCTGAGCCATCTGATCTTTTATTGTTCTTCCGTTTTGCAGATATCGATGACTGCAATCCACACCCTTGGTAAGACAAACTGATTTAGATTACATGTTTATGTTTGAGTTGCCCCTGTTATTCAAAAATCCTTCATTTAGTCTTGTAATATTTATTTATCTTTTAGGCTTTGTTCACACAGCAGGTAAATGTGACCCAAGTTTTTTGCCCCAATCCTGACTGTCTGAACAGCCCCATTCCGATGTATTCACCCCAAGAAAATTTGTGCCTCTTCCATATCTCATTCTAAATTGGATACATATCCAATAGTTTTCCAAGTGTCTGCAGTCTGAGTCATCAGTTTGCATTTTATCCATCTTTTCCGTCATTGACGTGAGGCATTCTTCATAAGATGCACCAGAAGAAGCCAGACTGGTAAATCCTGACGTAAACAATGTCTGAATCAAGCAGCACCGATACGTTTTTGTAAGCTGTGTCACTTTAGAGCTGACAGTAGTCAACTGCCATTGCTTAACACCTTTATAATTGATCCATTATTACTTCTGCAAACAGTACACTGCTGTGTGTTGTCTAGGTTTTTCTGTGCATGCGGGTCACACTGGGATCATAAACTGTTTACATACAAGTCTGATTGTGCTTGCATTTAATTAGCTGTAGAAAGTCCATGAAAGAAGTAAAGAATATATATTTCAGTAAATATTTGGAGTTGATCATCAAGACCTTCTGTATTAACACAACCCTAATTTCCAAGTAGCATTCTGGCTATCTGCAAGTTACTTACATGTCTGTGAAGTATAAACTGGTATAGAGTTTGGATTTAGGTTAATTGTCTCTTTTGTTAAGAGCTTTATGTCACCCATTCGGAAAATATTTTAGTTTTTTCACACATTTAGATGTTTAGACTGTTTTTTTGAATGAGATTTAACAGGTCAGCAAATCTTATTATGGCATATTTTCCTATGCCTGATCGTCAAGGCCCTGCATGTTAGGTGCTTCCCTGCTTCAGCACACCTGATTTCAATTAATGGTCGATTAACAAGGTTTTACTGAACGGCAATAATCTGAATCAGGTGTGTTAAAGCAGGGGGACATTTAAAACATACAAGGCAGCGTGCCTTGAAGACCAGTGTTGGAAAACACTGCAATAGCGCACCAAACTGCAATAGAACAGTGTAACTGCAGAACTACATTCTTTCTCACTACAAAGATAATATTTAGGATACATATTTAACTGCAGCAACATTGCTGCTATTCTTATAGTGGTCCACAAAAGTCAATCCTAATCTGGCCCTCTGACCCCCACCTACCCACACCCTGGCTCTTCAATGACTGATAGGTGGATTAGTGGTGGTTAATCCACCTAGGAAGAGAGGAGGTGGAAAAGGAAGAGACAGGACAGGGTGATGCCCCTCCTTCTGCACCCAGAACCTGGGGCAAAGTGAGAATTGAAGCTGTTCAGAGATGGGGCTGTTACCCTCACTATGTGGTCTTTATGGATTTGCATATGAAATCTAGACATTGATCTAGCTTTAGCTTGAAGGTCTCAACAAAATCAAAGAAAATAGTAGCACCACAACTTTATAATAAAGACAATTTTCATCTTTTTTCACATCATTAATGAATCAAAATGTTGGCTCTTGGTTTCCACCAATTTTCTGTACTAGAAGCTGATTTTAAAAGCACTGATATTTTATTGACAAAACCTAAAAGCCTTCAAATCATTTAGGAAAACCGATGCAAAAAGATTAAATAAAATTTCTGAATGAGGTTTTGCTCTTCTCTCCTTTGCAGTTACAACGGTGGCATCTGTGTTGATGGTGTGAATTGGTTCCGCTGCGAGTGTGCGTCAGGATTTGCTGGACCAGATTGCCGCATCAGTGAGTGCATGGGAACCGAAGGGAGCTGGAGGCTGGGGTCAGGTGTGCTGGGGCATTGGAAAGAGGGTCAGAGATGAAGGGCCTTGGTAGGGGAGCCTGAGCCGATTGTTTCTGGGTGACAGATTTGGAAGCCTTTTAGGAAAACGGTGTTAACCTTTCCCCTCTGTGCTGAGCCGAGGTCAGAGCTTATGTTGGTTGGGCACTCTCACGTCTCTGACTAGAAAGCTTTTCAGAGAAGATTTTGCAGAAGCAGAGAGGTATCCATTTGGAGATTTTGGGACTAAACTGTGATCATATTGAAAGAAAATAATCTCCTTAAAGATTTTCAAATGAACATTAAAATACACCCAAGATTCAGGTTTTTACAGCCTAGTTGACCTTCTACAAATGTAGAGTTTGACTTGTTTTACTTGATCAAAACACTACTAGTTCTTCTAGATTTAATATTCAGTTCTAATCCTGAGCTTATGTCTTTAAAACCAACATTGACTTCATATTTCTGTGATTGTTCTGTATACTTGTTTCCACAGATATAAATGAGTGTCAGTCGTCTCCCTGTGCTGAAGGCTCTACATGCATAGATGAGATCAGTGCCTACCACTGTGTCTGCCCTCCTGGACAAGCTGGACCTCAGTGTCAGCAGTGTAAGTTAAATACAATGATCCCTTGTTTTTCGCGGGGGTTGCGTTCCGAAAATAACCCGCAATAAGTGAAATCCACAAAGTAGTTACCTTTATTGTTTTTACAACTATTACACAGCATAGTTAAATACTCTACATTGAAACCAAAGAACAAAACTTGTTTTCAGGTCGGCGGATGTGTGTGTGCATCAGTCACGGCCTTAATGTGATCCGGATTCATGTTATAAAAGCCGTGTCCTCCAAGATTCACAGCTGTATCTACAGCAGAGCCTCCAGCCAGTTTTTTTCAGCAGGCATTCAAAGTTTCAGTTTCCATCTCCTGAATGGATGCATTATGTATATTTTAGCCAATCAGGACACAGAATACAATGCACTGTGAAAAAAACTGCACAAAAGCGAGGGTTCACTGTACATCTAAATCGTTTGTGCATTAATTTAAAATCAAGGCTAAAAACTAGTGGCGAGATATTGCAGTGTCTGTGATTAATGAATTGCATTTTTATCAAGAAGTACATTCTCAATTAAAAAACATTTTGCTGCTGAATTATTAAATAATTAAACATATGAGCTCAACATTATGTGTTTCATGTGTTTATCATGTTCTTATTTTTCAACCATCAGATTGGTGTAGTGTTATTCTTGTCATTCAGATTTCCAGTGTTCGAAGAACTCCTGATCATTCATAGAACATCTATAAGAATATGGACCCTGGGCACTGACATTAGTATTAGCTGCTACATGTTTAGCATTGAGATGTTAATTTATGCTTGAATAGCTTCACTGATGGGCTAACTCATTTTACCACAATTTATACACAACAATAGTCTTTCCCAGCGACCCATCAGATTAGTTCAGAAGCAGAAACGAACCACCAGTGGGCCCACAGATACAAAAAGTTTTGGTTGTGGTACCAATGTAAAGAAAAAAAGCAAGTAATTGTGTTAAAATATTTAATGTTATAGAATATTTTTCGGACTATAAGCCGCTACTTTTTTTCAATGCTTTGAACCATGCGGCTGATAGCCGCATGGTTCAATAAAGCTGCCTTTTATCTTTTCAGTCACGGGACTTGGAAAGTCATGCCGCCACGCTGGCCTGCAGTATCCTCACAGCAGTCACTGGGAGGAGGACTGTAACGCCTGTCAGTGTGTCAATGGCGAAGTTCACTGTTCCAAGGTTTCACCGATGAACCAAAGATTTTTTCCACATATATAGGCTGAGAGCAATTACTGATCCACTTTAAATATTTGAGGCATGTACTAAATCCCTCTAACTGTCCACTTCCAGGTGAAGTGCGGTCGTCGCCCCTGCATCCTCCCAAATGCTGTTTTGCCTTCAGTCACCAGCCATCAGCCCTGTCCTGGAGGCCTTGAGTGTGTGAAGCATCCATTCCTCACATGCTTGTCTCCACCATGTCATCAGTGGGGCGTGTGCTCAACACCTGACCCTCCCACTCCTGAGCATACCCAGTGTGAGCCCCATAGTGGCTACCTGGACAACAGCTGTGCTCACATCACTCTCATCTTTAACAGGGACAAAGTGCCACAGGTACTCATACATAGAAGTGTTAGATGTTTTGGAAAGCATTAATCAGAGAAACACCCAGTAGATAAGGATTGTCAAAATAATCTATATTAAGACATAATTAATGCTGAAAATATGAATGACTCCAAGAAACTCATCAAAACAGATATAAACTGAAACATTTTCAAGATATTGCCCTTCTTCAGACAGCAGCACTGCAATAACAGAGATCCTTAGAGTCTCCCTTCCCTACTAGAGGTTCACCTGCAGATTAAAGGCTCAGAATAAAACTGAGTACTTGACGCTAGGAGTACCAGCGTCAAGTACTCCTACCTGCAAACCGATACTCCAGATTAATAGCACTGTTCTGCTGGACTTTCCTCCTGTGCTTCACTACGGTGAAGAGGCTAAACCACTCTCCATGCCAGGTGATGGTGGCAATACATCAGTAAGTTATTTGCCAATTCTCCAACAAAACAGAGAAGTTAGACAGTGGAAGGGGCTAAAATGTCCATAGATTTCTAGCAAATGTTGCGCTAGACCAGGGGTGCCCAAAGTTGGTCCTCGAGGGCCGCCATCCTGCATTTTTAGTTCTCTCCCTAGTAGTAGTAACAACCTCTCAGCATGTCAATGTTCTACTTAGGCCTCTAATGAGCCATCATTTGATGCAGGTGTGCTAAACCAGAAGAGAACTAAAACATGGAGGATGCCGGATTTTGAGGACCAAATTTGGGCACCCTGCGCTAGACTTTCATCGTCCATCATTTTAAAAAACGGTGGAAAAAGAAATCATGTCATAATCTAATTTTACCAAGAATTTTTAAAACGTCATTTAATTGCATTTACCATCATATTACCATCAAACTGAATGCATTTCACTTATCTCTGCAGTGACAAAGTTTTGAAATCACTTCACCAACTGAAGTGATCAGAAGTCGGCAAGACTCTCTGAACGCTACCTGATCTCGCAAACACTCCAAGCCTCTGGTCCATAACTCTTCAACGCGCCACTGTTTGCTCTCAGATTGTGTTCAGAAATGATACTGTTATCATCTATGTTAGAAATTCTTCTTATACTGATTGATTTAGTGACCTCAGCCATGTTCTGTGTGTGAATTTGAGACCAGGTGTGTGTAATCACATAGGATACAAGTCTGCTCTCTGTGCTTGGTTAAGCCATCAAGCAAGGGGAAACCCAACCTTTTATTTTAATTAAGCTTTTACTGTTTTTGTTCTTAGACCATCATTAGAGTAAACAGTGTAACTTCTACTATTTTTAGATTTTATCATCTGGGATGCGTGATTAATTGGAGCAGAGCAGTGGAGCTGCTGCACATTTATTTGCTGTGCACTGCGCTTGTTAGTCTGATGGACATCTGCTCTTTGATTTATTTCCTTCTTCTACACCATAAGCTACCTACTCCTCTATTTAGACTATAGCAAGTCACAACTTGATCATGTATTCTCTTTTAGTCTTCTCTGTGTATTTGTCAGTTTATAAAATGCGCCACAAAAGCCCGACCCACCATCAGGCTAATCATTTTGGCTCGACTGACCTGGATTTCCTAATCTGAAACCACTGTAATTTAGACATTTTGACAATGTTTTTACTAATCTACCTACTTTGTGTGTGTGTGTGTGTGCGCGCGTGTGTGGCAGGGCACTGCTGTAGAGAACATCTGCTCTGAGCTGAGATACCTCCCTGTGACTCAGATGCTGGCTGTGGACCGAACACTGATCATCCTCTGTGATTTGTCCTATTATACAAGAAATGCTGTGGAGGTTGCCATGGTAATTACTACACATGCTTACCCTAACACTTATATTTTCACTATTCAGGAAACACTACACTCTTCAGCCAAATATGAGATGTTTGTTAAAATGCTTCAAAAGCAAGACTGCCAAAAACAGCCATATGAATTTTACATTTTAAACTTGAGATGCACCAAACAGAATCAAGTGACCAATTCAGCTAGTTTGTGTTTTAAGTTCCAACCTACTGATGATTTATCTATAAAAACCAACATTAATATAAGATTAGTCTTCAAATAAGTTCTTTCCAGCCTTCCTACTCCCAGAAGGAGTAGGAAGGCCACTTGTCCAGTGGTGGCATTTTTTGTGTTGTGGCAGCAGAAGCAGTACACAATCTGTGTATAAAAGCAATTACAGTGAAACAGGACTTGGTTATAAGCAATTAGCACAGGTAGCACGGCTGGCTAAATGTGGATTCTGAACTTTACCCTTGTATGTAGAAATGGGGTCCAATGGACCCCACACACATAAAACTTGTATCATTTGCCATAGTCCCCTACGTTTGCCTCAGTCCTCGCACGCACAAGGGTGAAATAAATACAGGGATTAAATAAATGTACAATGTCCAGGGTTTCCCCCAGAAAACTTGCTAAGCCCGGTGGTCAGGGCATTGAGGCGGCCCACCGGTGGTCAACCGTGTTTTTGTATTAAAAGATGTTAAGTTGACAGGAAATGTAAAA